TATTTGGGGAGGAGGGGGAATCTGTATATTAAAGCCCAACTAGATTTTCTGTGGAGTTTTCACAAAACTTGTACAATGGGTCTATTATCAAGATATGTAATAATGATGGATAATGTTGAGCCTTGACTTTTGTTTTGGTGGGGTAAAATATCCATATCATTGTGTAGGGTGAAAGGGGATATTTTAACCTCAAGGTGATTATAGGTACTATATACAATGTATATACTGAGGGCGAGATTTAATGAGACAACTATAGCTATAGGTTTCATATATGAAGAAAAGAATTACTATATTAATGGTTGATACAAAGAGAAGTTGAGAAATGGTTTCACGTTTCGAGTATGGCCAAATAAGGGGAATGTTTTCAAGTCTGGTCACAAATAATACCTTGATCCATTGTGGAGCAAATACTATAGGGAAGGAGATTGTCAGAAACAGGCCTCTATTACAAAAGTCCTTGTGGGAGGGAATGGCTGGGTCTTAGCTACAGTAAGGTAGTCAGATAGTCAGAAACAGGCCTCTGTTACAAAAGTCCTTGAGGGAGGGAATGGCTGGGTCTTAGCTACAGTAAGGTAGTCAGATATAGGCATGTGTTACAAAAGTCCTTGTGAGAGGGAAGGGTTGGGTCTTAGCTACAGTAAGGTAGTCAGATATAGGCCTGTGTTACAAAAGTCCTTGTGGGAGGGAAGGGCGCGTGCTGGGTCTTAGCTACTGTAAGGTGAGACAGTTTGAGTCGTCCTTCATCCTTGTCATTACTGTCTCATTATAGAGCCTCTGGTTAGAACCAGTCAGCCACAGGAGCTCATGAGCCAGTCCCCGAGTCAGCCATGGCCGTCAGCCCAGGTATGATTCATGAATCAGTATAATTAAATCCTGTAAACATTTCCGCCTGACTGACCACTGCTCCACGGCTCATCGCCCTCTGTACAGAGCCGCCATCCTCAGAAACAATAATCACCAAGTTTAATGAATTGTCGCACAATGTGTTTTTCAGCATAAATATGCATTGGCTCGTGTACAGGATAGGTTTTTTGATCTCTGCCCTCCGTCTTCCTCTATTCATTCTCTTTTGCTCTCTCTCTCAGTCTTTCTGTTCTATGTAAACCTTATTAAATAAAACTATAAATATTTAAATATCACAATGCCATGATTAAATGAAAGAAAAAGCTGTGAAGAATTCCTATCGGCGTTTCTAATGATGAGGTTGTATTGTGACTGTATTTACAATCTAATCCTGCTGTCGCTCAAGTCGGACAATTTCTTATGCATTGATTGCAAATTGAACTCTAGTGCAATTCATTTTAACAATTAATGTTTATTGAAGGATGGAAAAAAAAAAGATATAAAGTTGTTAATTGCCTTGTTAGCAAGGAACATCCATCATGCCAGTGTCAGAACTATTTAATTCATCACATGTATTGTATAAGCCCATCAGAATTGTGTAGACATCTATAACAAATGACATCATGTATTATGACATTTTATAAAACAAATTCTCAGTAACTTAATGGTGGTGCCCTGATCAGCTATGAAGATGTTTACCTGCTTGACAATCATGTGTGTTTGGCTTCATGGGATAATGTGTGAAGGATGGTCGAACTTTATCTCAATGTCTTCATATCTACAACAAAAATTTAGCTCCATCGTAGTATCGCTATGAAGAAAATGTGGATCATTAAAATCCATACTCTGATAAGGGATTTGAGCCCTCACTGGGGACCTACTGTAAGGACACCTGGTAAGGTATTCAGCCCTCACTGGGGACCTATTGTAGGGACACCTGGTAAGGTATACAGCCCTCACTGGGGACCTACTGTAGGGATACCTGGTAAGGTATTCAGCCCTCACTGGGGACCAACTGTAGGGACACCTGGTAAGATATTCAGCCCTCACTGGGGACCTACTATAGGGATACCTGGTAAGGAATACAGCCCTCACTGGGGACCTACTATAGGGATACCTGGTAAGGTATTCAGCCCTCACTGGGGACCAACTGTAAGGATACCTGGTAAGGTATACAGCCCTCACTGGGGACCTACTGTAAGGATACCTGGTAAGGTATACAGCCCTCGCTGGAACACTCAACACCATCTCACATGAATATGAATGGAACTTCACAAAGAAAAGAGAAGTCTTACCAAGTGGCTCCAAATCACAACAAAAACAGAGGAGGAGTATATACATCACATTAATTTACATCAATAACAGGGAGACAAGATGGTCCAACCTGAGAACTAACTTCATTTTCTGTAGAACATGAAGTGTACCTTCTGTCATAAACATTTTTTATAGAACAAATGATAATCGTACATATGGTTTATATCCTAGAACTTCAGACATACAGGTCTATGTTTCAGCCCTTGAGATTGTTTGTTTACGTGCTAGAACTTTAGACATACTGGTCTATGTTTAGATTGTTGGTTTATGTCCTAGAACTTTATTAGCGTCCTATAGGTGATGGTGTTACATTGGTACATACATAGTATGTGTTTAGGATCCGTAGGTGAGGCATACAGTGCAGCTTGGTGCGACATGGACTCTTTGTTGTGTAGCATCGCATGGTTCAATTATTCATGGCCGATGGAAGAAGTTAATATTTAATAGGTGTAGTAGTGTATATCTGGCCTCCCTAATCTGGTAATTATACACGTAATGAATGCCGTACAGCACACCCCCTCTACACACTCTTTGTTCCCAAATAAATAACCAAAAATAATTGTCCAAATTGGGGTGGTTTTTATGGAGCTCTGTTTTCCTGGGCTTTGCTGACATTTGCACAGTAGACGTATGGTGATAAATTCATCAAGGGGTGCGATAGGTGAAATTTGAAAACAAAAAATGTGTTTCAACAAAACATAATGAATGTTTGAAATTTCCATTTCTATTGATTAGTTTTTGAGTCCAGTAGGTACCTGGCCCAGTAGTTGGTACAGCACATTGCTGTAGAATGGGTTTCCTAACGAGAAGGTTGCTTCATTAGCCTCACATAGCCTAACATCAAGGGAAATATGTGTCACAGTAATTCACTTATATATAGGTAGTTTACCAGGTAGAAAAGATCAGGTCAGCTTTGTATACCTATATAATATAGATGTATCTGCCTTTGTATACTAATATAATATAGATATACCTACACAAGGTATAAAGTACCAGGTTTACCTTTGTATACCAATATAATATAGATATACCTACACAAGGTATAAAGTACCAGGTTTACCTTTGTATACCAATATAATATAGATATATCTGCCTTTGTATACCAATATGCTAGGTAAACCTACATTAGGTACAAAGGATCAGGGTTTCTTTTGATGGATATATCTGTAAATGTTCATTGTAGATATAGCTAGTGTACTGTTAACTGACATGTGTAAATTTTGATTGTCCTAGCACAAACCAATATAAACAGGTGTGAATGAAGACTTTCTGTATTTGTCTATATGTGTGTAATCTTGTGTATCAGAATATCTGTAGTTTGGTATTGGAGCTATACAGAAAACCAATCCCATGTGATTTTTGATATGGTAAGATGAAGGTTATACTGATGTAGGTTTTAGTGCCTAATGTGCGTGGCACACCATATACGGCTTTAATGAAGACCTAGGGGTTCCTGTCGGCTGTACATGTCCCATTTTCTCTGCAGCAGTTAACCGAGTGTGTGTACGGAAGTATTTATGGGAACTGGGACTTTTTTTATGAGTATCATGGAAGCTAGTGTCTTATTTAGTTGATACAATGGCGGTGCCTCCCCTATCTGGACACCCGGTAATTTTGTCAAGTTGCCTATTTATTGCATTTGTAGAGGATCATCCGTCAACTCTTTCCCCAGTACTAGCCCGGCTGTTCATCTGTCTTACACTTACCGTATAATCAAGTTTGGCCCGATGGTCGGTGTAGGATTTTATTTAGTCCGATCAGTTTGCCCAGGATAAGGTCTGGAGATACTGGCCAGTTGTGTGTTTATTAGGTAGATGTCTTGGCACTGAAGTTACCATAGTAAAGGTCAGGGCATGGTTTGTGAGGATGTTGCGCTGGGTGCGAAGTTCATCATATGAGTTGTCACACAGTGAAAACAAAAAACGCTTATTGTATTGTTCTTAGTGTCAGATGTCCTCTTCAATGTGTTGAAAAAGAAATTGTAGGTGGATTACATACATATGTGGAATATGGTATGGGGTATCTTATTGAATGTTACAAATTATGGAATGATGGTGTATCTTTGCATGTTTTGTCAAAGTCAGGAGAAAGATATGTTTGTCCTTTTTTTTCATGGCTTGTACAGACAGACAATAATGTCAGGTCTCTATAAGCAAAAGATATTTCTGTCTTTTCATGCCTTAGCAAAAATGAAGTGTCTTTGTAATTTATATCCCAAGAGAAAATACAAGATATTATTTTTTTGTTTACTAAACTTCAACCCAATCTACACTTTCTTCTCTGTTTGCATGTAATTATGTGTGCTAGAAAAATTTGTTTTTGTTTTCCTGATTCGTAGCTAGTTTGATCTTTATATCTTTTCTATATTTTACACAATAATTAACAGTTAAAACTCTGAAGAACGTTTTCATTCTTGACACTGTAGTAATATGGAAAGTTATATTCACTATAAATATATTCTGAAATAATTTTCTTCCATGATTTGTCAACGACAAACAAAAAGTATGGAATCTGAGCAGTTGATACAAGGTGTCCTTTTTTGTAGGAAATTTTACAGATCTGATTCTCTAAATGATCTGTTAGAAAATAAGTTATGACAATATATATGCATTGTCCATTAAAATTTATCATCTGGATTACACACCTCACAGGTAAAGTGTGCTGACGATGCAAATCTTACAGGTAAAATCTATTCTGGTGATAACACACAAACTCACATGTAAAATTTGATAAACTGTTAAAACCTAGCTGACCAGGAAACTGAAAGATTTTCTTTTTTTTTAAGTTGTAATGTTATTTGTATGTTTAATACAAATATTACCTTGTTCTTTTGTGCATTTCAGCCTGCAAAAGGAAAGAGCAGGAACAACAGGCCCAGGACCAGAGGCACCCCAAAAAACCCCGGCTAGTGTTTACTGATATTCAGAGGAGAACGTTGCATGCAATATTTAAGGAAACCAAGAGACCATCAAAGGAAATGCAAGCTACAATTGCACAGCAACTCGGACTTGAAGTGTCCACTGTCGCCAATTTCTTCATGAACGCTCGCCGGCGGTCAATTGATAAATGGCGAGACGACAATGGTAACAACAATAGAGACAGTGTCCCCAAGAGCTGAGTTGTCGTGACGATGTCCAACAGGTTTCTCAGTGATTGTGGTCGGTCATCTTCGTTGTGCATCCATATTTTGTTCATCTGTCCATAGAACAGTCATTGGTGCGGCATACATCGTACCATAAACATTTCATATAAATATTATATATTGATGAATAATCATTATGTTAACAAGAATAGTGTGGGTATAGATGTGTGTAAGTGAAGGTTGTTATGTATGCATGTAAGGAGGTTTGATAAAAGTCCTCTCCCACATACCATGGCACAACTATAGTGTTCTATCTCATCAAAATCCACATGACCAGAGAATGGAGTTTATTTACATTCTGACCTTTTTGTTAAGAAATCCCTGATCAATCATTCCATTTACAAAGATGTATGTTTTAATTTATGTGAACTTTTTTTTATTTAAGGTACAAATATTTAAATTTTTTTAATTTTTAATTTTGTTTTTTCTTTTGTTAGACTTAAAGTCAAAGAATTTTTGTAGTTCACTTGAGTTATTTATTTGGCTCACAATTTGTTTACGTTGTGTTATTTAGTTTGATTTGAGGGTCATTATAAAACTTGAATGGAGTTTTAAAAGAAAAAAAATTGATGGCAAGGTATAGGGCAATATCAGAAGATGAGAATATTGATAGAAAAATCTGAGAATTTCCTTTTCACAATGTTAATACTGTGTTTGGAAAGGACATCTAACTGGTGTTCATCAAACACATTATTTTCGCGTAACACTTTTCTCCGATTGTGGGACAGACACCATTCCTTTACATAGTGCTAAAGCATTTTGACATCCCGTGCCTAATCGACTAGCACAAATTGGTATTGATTTATCATTTAACCTTTTTTACAACCAAGGTTTTTTTTCAATTGAGATTGAAATTCATAGCATTAGGTCTGTGGGATTTTTTTCTTTTTTTTTCCAAAGAGTTACATTCTAAATATTTCTAGTGTAGAGGTTGATTAAAGAGTTGAATTTCTGCTCTTTCATATTTATGATTCCAAAAAAGGTTGTAGAATTAGGTAACCATGATAGCTGTATTGCAGAACAGGTCGTAAAAAATTAAAATCGTGATACAGATAATTTCACATTGTATAAATACTTTGGATTGTCTCTTCAGGATGACAAACTCCATTGTGGCCAGCATAATTCTAGTCAGACACAAAAGTTTGCCTCAAAATACTAAGTCCATAACTTGCCATCATTTCCCTCCAAATGTTTAGTTCATAATGAAATACACTTATCTGTCTCATTTGTTTTGTTCATAACTATGTATTTACTAGGAATTCATCGGCAGGTGCTTATTTATTTTATTTATGGCTTGTTGTTGATGTTGTGTTTCCTGTGTTTTTATTTATCCCTGTGAATTTTTTTTTTTTTACATCCATGACATATCAATTCTACAACTGTACAGCACGCTGTATGTGTTCAAAACACCCCAAAGACTAAGATCTAGTCAGTCCTGATCATGGTCTTTCCATATCTTGACATGATACGCTTGGAACAAATTAATTAATCCATTACTGATCAATGTTCATTGATTCTCAGCAATCATTGTATCAAATTTGTGCAATATTTATTGATTTTTGTTGGTTTGTTCTTGAACTATTTAAGTACACACGTTAATTCTTTGTTGATTTTTGTTTTATTGTAATAATTATTGTTAATTAATTTATTTGATATCCTGATACTGCAGTCATGTGGAAAATTTTTGTGTTCACAGGAGGGTTGTAAATTTTTGGTTGATCATTCCAACTGATTTGTGTATACAGTGTGTCTGGCATTATTGTTTGATATCAGATGGGCAGTACAAATTGTATGTGCATATCTCTGATATCATTATGCAGTGTATGGGAAATTTATAGGAGCACATGTTGCATAGACTTTCTTACAAGTTGCAGAGTTGAAAGTTCAGCTTTTTCCATGCTGCATTTTGAGTAGAAAGGTCATCTTTATCCATCAACTTGTGAGAAGACAAAGTAACCAGTACTAATGCATCAGTTGAGAGAAAATACCAGCAAGAATCTCTTGAAATTGAAGGCAATATGATATGTTCAGTTGTTTTACAATTTAGTAAAACGATTCTTGTAACCAGAAATGATTGGAAAAAAGTGCTTTAGGACATAGGTGCACTACTTTATGTACAAATGTGTCCTAGTAATGTTGCATTTGTTTCTAGTATTTCTGTGGTTAAGTGACTGAATTACTTAAATTCGAAACATACACAAATCACTGATATAGCAGTTCAGGCACTGGTGTACATAGAGTTTCTCAAGTGTGACTCCAATTCTAATGGATCTAAGCTGGTGACAAAATCTGCACTCTTTCTTTCATTCCAGTGCCCCAGTTTTCTCAACCTTGTACTACACTGGGTTTGCAAGGTCAGTGTTTGGATCAGTTCTCCACTAAATATCTATTACTTTTGAAACCATACATTTTGTAGAGAGATGTTACACCTGTTTTATACACAAGCTTGAAGTTTAAAGTTTTATACCATTGAAAAATTAAAATATCATGGAATCCTGTTTTGATTAGATCAATTAACAAGCAATTAAGAACAAAAAAAAAAAAACATTCCAGCTCCATTTTAACTGCAATATGGTGAAAATATCAACATGTCTTTGATAACTTAAATCATTTCCTTAAGAAAATTTTGGAACATTCCATGAATGAATCTATTGCCATGTTAAATGTGTTGAAGAAGAAAATGTTTCTACTATTCCAGATGTTGCTTAGGGACCCTACGCAACTCTATTGTTGTTCCAATATTTATAATTAATTTATTTCTGTGTTGTGTTTTGAGAAAACCATAACTGTTTTGTGTTTTTGTAAGTGTTTATAGACACTATGATATATTTACATACTACTATATGCTTTTGATATATGGAACAAAGGCATGCAATAAGTCACTACACAACATACTGTCATCATGAGATGATTAATGCCTTTTATATAAAAACATTGTCATGATGTCATCATAATTATCATATTAATGTATTATGTACATAGACATTAGCATCATTCCCGTGTTTTATAATGTAAATACTGTGTATGAGAATCTGTCCTTTGACCTTTAGAGGTCAGAGGTAATGTGTGTCCTTTGACCTTGGAGAGGTCAGAGGTTGAAAATACCTCGTCATTCAACAATGCTGGATTGAGAAATTGTTTCTTGCTATTAATTTTTTTTTATCATCTTCTGTCATTTGTAAATGCAGAATAATCTTGTTTTCTGGGGTTTTTTTTAGTATTATTATTGGGATGAAATTGGGAGATGTTTCAGACGATGACTGGTTTGTCCTTAATGTACAGTACAGAAGAAAGTGCTACAAATGTATTCATATCACTAGCTGTGTTTAACAGTAACCTATTCACCTATTTTTGTGTGAGAATATTAGATTTATGGGTTTTACATAATGTTTTAACGAAACAGAACTTTTCACGCAGGAAATAGAAATCTCAGTGCATTATCCTCGAAAGTAATCTCATTCATCCAGCTTTTTATTCTTGGTGTTTTATATGTGAACTTAATAAATGAGATCTGATTTTTTTCCTCCAATTTTAAAGGTTTGTTTGAATTATGACGATACAGTAGATCTTTCTCACTTTTTTCCCCTCTTATAAAGAATTGGCTACAAAAGCATCAACCTGTTTTTAAGTAAGAAGGTCATTCCAGCTCCTAGAATAGATTGACTGTATATTCTTCACCAAGTATTATACAGGTTAAATGTCCAGGCCCAATTTTGTACAGGAGATTTGAATTACAAATATGGCCACATAATTGTTTCCTGTACAGAAGTTTTTATTTGTATTGTTTCTCCTCCTTTTAATCATTGTTTACATATAGATATATGACAATTGTAAATGGTGTGTATTCAGTACACAGGCTACAGCTGGACGGCTCCTCCGTCGCTACAATGTTCTATGTTTTAAGGCAGCACAATTTTATTTGGGTATTGTAGATGGGAAGCGTGCCAGCTGCTGAGCTTAAAACAGGAATAATACCCACTCTCACATGATGATGGCAATGGGATTGTTCAGGTTCTGCTAGCTACACAACCAAACCAAACAGATAGAACCTGGCTCCCAGGCCTTGTGCATTCTGTAGAGAACAGAGGGACTGGGAGCCTGGATAGCAACCACACTCTCACTAGCCCCCAAGTCTGTACTGCAGTTGTGTCAACATCACATACATGCTTGAACAACTCGACCCTCTGGGTCACAGAGATGCTTGATGAGAAAAATCAATACTTGGGAAATTGTGGGATAGAAGTATGTATACCACAGTACATTGCTCTTGTACACTAGAGAATAGCAAAAACGTGGCAGGAACTACAGTGTTGGCCCTGAATTCTAGCATGAAATTAAATCTTCACAAAGACACTCGTCAATTTATATGCTCAAGATTGTGACAGGCAGATCCTTTCTAGTACATTGAAATTGAGTACAATGAAATAGTTTGAAAATTTAATTTGTATAAAGAGCTATTTTCTGCAGGCTTCTATAGTACAGGAAAAGGGTTTGATGTTAATCCCTGAAGCTGGGACACACTTGTTCCTATCTCAAGGATGGTTCTCTGCCAGCTGTTGCCTGGAAATGATATTTGAATGTTCCAGTTAAACATGATGACATCTGCTAGGACTGTTGTGGGATAGAAGTATGTGATGTGCATCATACACACATAAACACACACACAATGCAGTACGACAAGAAATATCCTTATTACCTTACCAGAGGTTCAAATTCCCTGTTAGACACGCAGGTCTATTGAAGGTCCCTGTATGACTGTCAGATATAGCCTTACAACCTTAGTCATGTAATTGTAGAATTTAGATTTTGTGAGTGTGGCCTATACTATTTCTAGTGGTAACCTATGACCCCTCCGTCTGCAATAGACTGGTCCTGATCAATTAAAACCACAGTCCATTGTTGGCATATAGGGGTAACAGGGTTCAAGTAGATGTCATCAGGGAACATTTTTCATGGTAAAACAAAGAACTTTTTTATTGGTGGAAAAAAGTTTTACCTTGTACAGTTTTTAAACAATATATGTAAAATAGGCAGGCCATACTCTACTGAAATGTGTTTCTTGTTGCTTTGTAAAGTATGTGCAAAGGGGGTACCATTTATTTATGTACGTAAATGATAACAAAAGAAACCTAGTCAAATATGTAGATCTAGTTCCTCCTGGAGTGCTGGGTGGGAACTGTGGCCTCGCCCTGGGGCGAGACATTCTCTCGGCCATAATGGATTATCATCCAGTTTATATTGTGCAATATTGATCTATTTAAATGTGTGTTGTCTTGTTTGTGGTGCAGTTTTAAGTGGAGTATATTGTGCGAGTTATTACAAAGTGACACCATAGTTCCTTTCAGGTAGATTTTATTAAGTGGTAGGTTTATGCAATGTATAT